CGGTGACCAAATATAACATTAGACGATGAATTAATGAAATAAGTTAAAAAAAATATATATAACACCTGTTGGAAACAGAATGACTGAATTCAAACAGCATGTTGTGACAAAACAATAACCTGAAACTCACTATGCAGTTCCACAGGGTTGCAGGAAACTGAAGCTGAATCAACTGATAATTCTCTGTAACTAATAATAAGAACAGCTAGCATTTTATATTTTCTGTTTATGATCATTACAACATGTTTTCCTTCTGTGACACAGGAGTCAGAGGACTGGGCATCGAGTCTCCACAGGTCTTCCTGGTGTCCAGCTTTGATCTCAGCTTGTATGACTTCTCTCTCTTACAAGAGACCTTAGAGAGAGAACTCCCTGAACACAAGAGAGATGCTCTGCTGTTTGCTACACCCAGTTTCAACCTGGAGATCATCAGCAAGAAGAAAGAAGCTTTCAAGGTATGATTGTATTGCTGCTGTGTTTAGGATCATTGTCCTGTTGATCAGTTAGCAGCACCTGGCTGCTGCTTACCTTAGTAAATCCTGAGGAAGGAGAACTGAGAAAATGTGTTTCTCATTCATTCAATTAATTATGAATCTCCATAATTTGGCTCCAGTTTGTATTTAAGATATTTTTTTTGTTTCTTTTTTTTGTTGTTTCAGTCTTTAAGTACAAGCCCAGACGACCAGTTTGGATTTGCATTAGTTAAAGAAGAAATTAATGAAGCTGTGCTGAAGAATGACCAACCAGCAGCTGCTGCAAAGATCACTGAGTTAATGATGAAGGAGAAAAACATCACACTAAATATCGCCATCACAGGAGAATCTGGGGCTGGTAAATCCACCTTTGTTAACGCCCTCAGAGGGCTGTCCGATGATGATGAGGGAGCTGCTCCTACTGGTGTTACAGAAACCACCTCAGAGGTCACACCGTACCCCCATCCAAACTATCCTAATGTTACTTTATGGGATCTTCCTGGAATCGGCACCACCAAGTTTCCAGCTGATGAGTACCTGGAGCTTGTTGGATTTGAGAAGTTTGACTTCTTCATCGTCGTCTCAGCCACTCGCTTCACGGAAAATGACGTGAAACTCGCTCAGGAGATTCAGAGGATGAAGAAAAAGTTCTACTTCGTTCGATCAAAGATTGACAACAATATGCGAGCTGAGGGAAGAAAGAGAGACTTCAGTGAAGAGGGGACTCTGACAAAGATCAGAGACAACTGCGTTCAGAGTGAGTATTTGGTGATGTTTGTGAAGGTTCTCAGTCATCCAGGTCATCGTAGTCAAATGAGCTTGCAAAGAAAAGCGTCTGGACTTCTTTAAGAGA